ATCGTGTTAAAGATCAAAACTAGGAGGAATTCTTTAGTGGTTCTTTAATGAGAGAATCTGACAGTGTGGAACCCAACTCAGGAGATAACTGTGGCTTCCAAGCAACCTTCCAATCCTCCCTCTTTGACTGCAGTACATCTGACCTTTGGGATTATAAAATTGAAAAAAAAGTGATACATTGCACAAGTTCAAAAAGTCCAGAAACTTGGATTCTACTGATAAGTTCCTGTATAGCACTCCTAATTGTTCATTATATGGTCCAACTGTGGCGTTATTACTTCACACTATTTAGTGATGGCTGTCATCTACATGGTGACAGATTTTATTACAGCAGATAGTTTCAGACTTGAATGCGATTGTGTGGCATATGAAGTTTAAAGGTAAACCAGCTACAATTCAAGGAAAATTATTCGAATTGTTTAAAATGTGCAGTTTCTACTGGGGAAAATGAGTATTTAGAAAATTTTCCTGATGTATTTTTGAGTCATCTGGCAGTTATTAGATGTTCAGGATTGCTTTTTTTGCTAAAAATTAATTGAAAACCTGTGCCCACTGGATTCATTTTATAGCAAAAAGAACCCCTGTTGAGACTATTTTGATGAAAAAATATTTTATTTAGCTATTTTTTTTCTGGTTCTTACACTAAAAAATTATCATTATCTTGTGTATTAAAAAAACAAAGAACATTGCAAACAGACATCAACTAAGTAATTTTTTTGCAGGAAAATTTCTTGGTATTTAAAAAATGTTTGTCCCAGCACTTTGGGAGGCCGAGACGGGCGGATCACAAGGTCAGGAGATCGAGACCATCCTGGCTAACACGGTGAAACCCCGTCTCTACTAAAAATACAAAAAAACTAGCCGGGCGAGGTGGCGGGCACCTGTAGTCCCAGCTACTCGGGAGGCTGAGGCAGGAGAATGGCATAAACCTGGGAGACAGCTTGCAGTGAGCTGAGATCCGGCCACTGTACTCCAGCCTGGGTGACAGAGCGAGACTCCGTCTCAAAAAAAAAAAAAAAAAAAAAAAAAAATGTTTGACCACCTGTGTGAGAATGTGTGTACCTTTCATACACATAATTGTTGAAATATGGTGATGAAATAATTTAGAATATTTTATAATCAGATCATTGTAAAAATTGTTGAGAACTAAAAGAAACTTGAAAATAGATACATACTTATGTCAATACATGCATAGCTAATTGAATCTCACATACACACAAACACATATACAAGTGACTATATAATTTAGTTCCTTTTTTTGTTCAATCAGATTCCCTGGATAATTAGGAGTCTATAAGGTAATAATCTGGATATTCCAGTTATCCTAAGTATGTCCAAGGCCTTATAGGAATTGTGTAGTTAATCATAGTGTGATTCATAGACTAATAGAATTTCTTTGCTTTTGAAGAGAATGACATCAACTCTATCTGGAAATACTAGTTTCCTTAGGCCAACTAGGAGCTCTGATACAGCTTTAATTCTAGTTCAGTAATAAAAATGGGACAGTGGATTAATAATTATGCCTCAGAGGAGAGCTTTAAGAGCTATGGTTCTGGAGTACAAAAACTTGTGTTCTGTTCTTGACATTAGCACCCACTAGCTGGTCTATCTTGAGCAAGTTACTTAATGTCTGTAAGACATCATCTGAGTTTTCTCATCTTTAAAATGGAAGAACAGGCTTGCTTCATGAGGCTTTCTTCTTGTGTCATAAGAAATAAGTTACTTCAAGTGGAATCTCAGCACAGAATAATTACCTCAATAAATTGTAGCAATGAGGATTCTTATTATTATTATACAATACAGCTGGTTGGCAAATTTTTTAAAAATAAGGGATCTAGGAGTAAAATTAATGAAATAGGCCATGGCGAGGAAGCAGGCTTCATGGCATGTGATTGGCTGAATCCACAGATACTGAACCCACAGACATACAAGCCTTATTACCAGTGGCCTGTTTTGTGGATTTTGCTCCTAGGTCCCTTATTTTGAAATATTTTGCCAGCCAGTGGTATTCTGTAATAATAAGATTCCTCATTGCTGCACTTTATTGAGGTAATTATTTTGTGATAGGATGAAATGAAAATTATGTTCTTTTGACTGGGTTGCCAAGCACTATTTAACTATTAACCAGCATATTTGCTCCAGCTACAGCTAGTGCAACTAGTCAGGAAGTGAAGGAACTTGTCAGAGTGATGCAGATATGCAGGTGAGTGCTGAAATTAGGGCTTAGCCTGGGAGGGTTCTTGGATTCACTCAGGAAAGAATTCACTTAAAGAAGTTTCAGAGTCATAGGGCAGCTCTTTGGATATATAGTTAATTGTTCAACAATTATTAAAATCATGCTCAAGGCCTGCTTCTGTGCAGATGCAGAGTTCAAGTTCAAAGCAATTCAAAGCCACGTTCTGCAACAGTTTTGTTCAAGTAATGAAAAAAAAAAAAAAAAAAAAAAGACTGTTGAAATCTCAAAGCCAAGTGGCTCTGGTGATGGAACAGGAAGTATAAAATCTCCACTGTTTTTTAAAGTTTGTTCTTTCTACTTTCTCCAAGCTCACTGTAGTAATCTTATAACTTTACACAGCTGTTTTGTTAGGCAACTCTGAATCAAGCTGAAAAGAGGATTAAAGAAATTAGGAGAATATCCTTTGCTCCTTTTTACTACTGTGGAATATGTTATTCTACACTAAAGGTTAAAAGAAGGGGAAAGGAAAACAAATCATTATATAACATATATTGGCTACAACAAGAGTATTACACGTAAATTGTGGAAATTAAAAAAAAAAATTCAGGCCAGGCATGGTGACTCATGCCTGGAATCCCAGCACTTTGGGAGGCCAAGATGGGTGGAACACTTGAAGTCAGGAGTTGGAGACCAGGTTGGCCAACGTGGTGAAACCTCATCTCTACTAAAAATACAAAAACAAAACAAAAGAAAATTAGCTGGGCATTGCAGCACATACCTGTAATCCCAGCTACTCTGGAGGCTGAGGTAGGAGAATCACTTGAACCCAGGAGGTGGAGGTCGCAGCGAGCTGAGATTGCACCACTGCACTCTAGCCTGGGTGACAGAATGAGACTTCATCTCAAAAAAAAAAAAAAAAAAAAAAAATTCACAGATAAGCTGGTGGTGGTAAACATCAGTCTTTTATTGAATTGTAGTTGCTTCATGTGGAGTAGGGCTAACTCATAGGTAGTACACCTGGAGCCATGCTTGTGGGGTGTTGGCAACTGTAGTTATACCCATTGTTACTTACATGCAAATCAAGGAGTAGGTTAATGCAAATTGAGGGGCAGGCTAGTTAGAAATCTCTAGAGGCCGGGCGCGGTGGCTCAAGCCTGTAATCCCAGCACTTTGGGAGGCCGAGGTGGGTGGATCACGAGGTCAGGAGATTGAGACCATCCCGGCTAACATGGTGAAATCCCGTCTCTACTAAAAATACAAAAAATCAGCCGGGCGTGGTGGCGGGAGCCTGTAGTCCCAGCTACTCGGGAGGCTGAGGCAGGAGAATGGCATGAATCTGGGAGGCGGAGCTTGCAGTGAGCCGAGATCGCACCACTGCACTCCAGCCTGGGCGACAGAGCGAGACTCTGCCTCAAAAAAAAAAAAAAAAAAAAAACAACTCTAGAAAGGGAGTGGTAACTTTGGGTCATTGCCATGGCATTTGCAAACTGTCATGGCACTGGTAGGAGTGTCTTATGCTAGTGAGCAATGAGAGCAGCTAGGGGTTGTTTCTGTAGCCATCTGCTGGTTTCTGCCAGCTTCTTCACTTTATCCTGACTCGACCAGATCCTATTTTGGTCAGCAGAGTTGAGACCATAAAACAAGTCCTGCTATTCTCCTACCTCAAAAGGACCATCTTTACAGTTGCTGAGGACCACAACCTGGGGAGGGGCCATTTGTGGTTGAGATCATCTATTTTTAGAATGTGACATTCTTAGACGTTGGATAATAGAATAAAGCCCTACATGGGTAGGTATTGGGAACAACCACATGCTTGAATTCTTCTGTTTCTCCCTAGCCTCTTAGATCACCCAGAGAAAGAGTCAGAAATGTCTTTGTTGTGATTTAAAACACTAAACTTTCCTCAAACACTGAGATTCAATGATGAGGTGCTGTACGTAATTTCAGGAGTATGTCTCGGCCACTGATGGTTGAGTTTTCATCAGCGGGGTCTCTGTGATTTGATCTGCCAAAACCTGAAATTCTGATATGCCTGCATGGCATGAAGATGGAAGTTGAGTTTTAAGATGTAACCTTAATAATAATTCCTTATATGTTATGGTACCTAAGAGTTATAAAGTCCAATGGTCTCTTGCTCTCCATGGATAGCAAGTCTGTGATATAAAATGATGTAGAATTTGCATATAACCTATGCATATCTTCCTGTATACTTTAAATCATCTCTAGACAATTTATAATACCTCAGACAATGTAAATATTAACACTATGTAAATAGTTGATATTCTGTATTCTTTAGGAAATAACAAGAAAAAATCTGTATGTGTTCAGTACAGATGCATTTTTTTCCTGAATATGTTTGATCTGCCATTGATTGAATCCACAGATGAGGAATTCATAGACATGGAGGGCCAACTGCATTTTTATTTGTATTGTATTATAGATCTTCATAGCAATTGCTTGAGAGACACAGGACAGGATGTTATTGTTCTGATTTTGCAAGTAAAGGAATGGCTTGCTATGTTTGAATAGTTAAGCTAAGACACTCAGTAAGAATCAAAATCAGGATTAGGTCCTCAGTCTTCTGACCCTGTGTCGTGTGGCATTCTTTCTATTTGAACACACTGTTTTTTGTTGCGGTAACTTACTAGAATATTGGATGCATGAAAAGCTTTGCATTAATAAAGTAGACTTAGATTTGTAAGGAATAATTCTTATGTTAACTTACGCTTGTCATTTGTTGCTAAACTTTATTTTTCTGCTATTGTCTTATTTTTTAAAAAGCCAAACACAGTTGTGAAAACCAATTTCTCTTCTCTCTCATTAGGCTTGAATTATGAAAGATGTGATTTTGAGGATGGTCTCTGTAACATGACTGAAGATCAGAGTCTGCAACCTCATTGGACAAAGAGAAATGGGATGACCAATCTATCACCTCCATTTTATGATCACAATGGTGATGTGTCTGGTAAATGCTTTAAATTTATTTTCTCACCTCTCTCCCTTCCTCCTTTCCTTCCTTCCCTCCCTTCCTTCTTCATTCTTTTCCACCTCTGTTTCTTCCTTTCCCCCCAAATATTTAATTAGGGAAGTAGAATCTAACTACATATTAGTAGTTAAAATGCCCAATTTTATACATTCTTTAACCAGTTTCAAAATATTTATGATTTTAAAATGTCACATCGGATTCTCATAATTGGGTTCCTGGGATTCCAATGGGCCTATTTAGATAATTGGAATTTTCCAGTTTTTCTTACTCTTTATGGAAATTGTAAAATGTAAATGGGAAAATATACCTAGATTAATTAGACAGTCAAATGTCTTTTATTTTGGCTGTACTGGTTTTAGCTTTGGGACAATATACACAGCTTAATTTGACAAATTTCTTTTATTTTGGCTGGACTGGTTTCAGCTCTGTCTAGTACCACTTGTTAAATCAAGTTGACTGGAAAGCTCTGCTGAACTGCTCTGTAGACTTTGACGTAGCTCTGGAGTGAGCCAGAAACTTTTTCATTTATTAACTAACGAACTCCATTCATTCAACATCAGGTACTGGGTGTTTAAGATGTACTAGAGAGCAAAAATGGACTCCATGCCTGCCCTCATCTGATGGCTTTACACATGCTAAGAAAAGAAGGAACACATTTCCTGGCACAACTAAAAGCTAGTTATTTTTATAAGTGATACTTCCCTCAAATAAATTCAATTAATGTTAAAATATGGTTATTACCCTAGAGGTAATTTGAAACAAGCAAATATTCAGGCATTTGATGTTAGTTTGGCAGAGTTTTCATAACTATTACACATGTGGATTAGGCTCCCTGGTCTGTCCTTTCCTAGCTGTAAAATCTTAAATTAATTTTTGAACCTTATTTTTCACAACTTTAAGAGAGGAAATAATGATGCTAAATTTTTAGGATGGTTAAGAACTACGTGAGAAATTGTGGATAGAGCTTATTATAGAAAACCCAGCACTCAAAAAAGTAGATGTTTAGTCCATTTCTGAATAATTTTGGTGTTGCTAATTTTACCTCTACATTGATAAGATGGAGTTTCTTAATTTGTTTGGCTTTAATGTCAAAAATTATTTTTGTTTAGAATTCCTAACAATTTTTAGGAATCAGCCAGTTTTATTACCAAAAAGGGACCAGCCTCACAAATAGTAACAAGCACTAACTGCAACATAGGAAACTTTTATTACAGATGTAGTTATGTTAGATGGTGACAGTGAATCTTGCTCCCAACCTAACGGCCTTTGCAATCTTACAGATGGCTGATTCCATGTTTCTCTCCTTTAGTACCTCTCCTCTGTTTCTTTCTTTTATTCAGAAGGTTTTTCACAGCACATATTTATTTACTCTAGGCTTTTGTTTGTTGATGGCGCTTACTGAGTGCCTCTTGCTTGCTTCCTTACTGCGGAGTTAAATAACTTCAGAAGACACTGTGCTTCCCAATTTTCTTCTCTCTCTCTTTCCTGTCTGCCATTTTCCCTCATTTTTTTTTCATGCATATTTTTGATTGCCTAGTCAAGAGATAAAATGGGGACAATCCACATCAAAACTGAGGTGTTGTACAGGCAGATGCCATAGAACGATATCATCTGGGTTGACTTAAAATCTCTGGAATCAGACTAGATGGGTTTGAATTCCAGCCTTGCCAATCCGCTAGTTTTGTAGTCTCAGTTTCCTCATCTGTAAAACAAAGATAATAATAATGCAAGCTGCATAGGAAAAAGAGACAAAATATTGCCTGCATAACTAATTGAAGGCTGGTAACTTTGGTAATAGTCATGCATCTCTTACTAATACAATAAATGTTAACATGTAAGTATTCTCTAGCAATAATTTTAAGTAAGCAAGTGTTCTGGCTGTAGATAATAGCTGTTGGAAAATATTTATAGAAAAATGGTCTGAATCCTGTCTTTACTCAAAAATTCTTATTTCATAAGTATTAACCAAATTTTTGATTAACTTACTCTTGAAATGATTTGCCAGTGCTCCAAAATTATATTTTTCATTATGTAATCAGTGCCTTGAGTGGCAAGTTTGAGAATCAATTAGAACATTAAAAACATCACTGTTGTCGATATTTGAAATCTAGTAAAGCTCAGGGAAAGAATGGTTAAAATGTAGTACTAATTTTTAAAACAATGTAACATTGCATTTAGATAAAATAGTAGTACTACAACAAAATCAAATACATCTTTGTAAGGATGGTAAAACTACTTTTAAAGATAGGAATACAAATATGAAAGTTTTAAGTAATTCTGAAGCTCAGCTGATATTAAAGATGATAAAAGGGTTTTTTAATGTATAATTCACTTTAAGTCTATCAAAGATTAAAAAATAATTTATTTGAAAAAATATTTCCCATTATGCCACAAATTATTATTTTCTAATTTGGGCATTTACAATCAGTTTTAAATGAGGATATTAGAGCTTTTGTTATTCTGATCCATTGTTAGATCTAAAATTCATATATTATGAAACATGTACACTATGAAATAGCATCTGATATTTTTATTTTGTTCTACAGTGTTCACATATATTGTGTCTATAATCTCTACATATTATAAACCTTACAAATCAATGTTATAATATTGCTTTAGACAGCATTAAAATGAATGAAGAAGAAGATACTCTTTTATCATATTTATTATTTGCAGCAGTCTTTATTTCTTCTAACTATCTGAATTTGTTTCTGGTATCATTTCTCTTCAGCTTGAAGAAACTCCTTTAGTATTTCTTGTAGTGCAGTTCTGTTAAGGATAAATTATATTAGTTTTTGCTCCTCAAAATGTTTTTATTTTGCCGTCATTCTTGAAATGTATTCCTGCTGAATATATAATTTTTCATGGTCTTTTTTTTCTTTTAGTACTTTAAAGACATTATTTTGTTGTCTTCACCTAGTTTCTAATGTGATATCCACAATTTCATTTTTTTCTGTGTGTAATATATCTGTTGTTTTGATGCTTTCAAAATTTGGTCTTTATTGTTGGATTTCAGCATAAGCATTTTAAATTTTATCGTACTTATGTTAACTAAGCGTCTTGAATCTGAAATGTATGCTATTGGCCAATTTTGGAAAGTATTTTGCTCTTGTTTATTCAAATAGTTCTGACCCATTCTCTCTTTCATTTCCTTTTTGTATTACAATCATCTGTAAGTCTAACAGGCTGTTAGATGAGGCTTCACCATATATTTTGATTTTGTTTTCTGTTTTTCAGAGTGCATAATTGCAATTGATACATCCTCAAGTTCTGTGATTTTTTTCCTTTGTTATCTTCATTCTACTGATAATCCTATGCAGTGATTAAAAAAGAAATCAACTACAGATGCTTCTCAAATTATAATAGGGTTATATCTCAATAAATCCATCATAAATTGAAAATGCATTTAATATACCTAACCTGCTGAGAATCATAGCTAAGCCTAGCCTACCTTAAACTTGCCGAGAACATATACGTTAGCCTATAGTTGGGTCAAATCATCTAACACAAAGCCTATTTCACAGTAAATATTGAATACCTCATGTAATTTATTGCATATTGTACTGAAAGTGAAAAATAGAGTGGTTATGTCCCTCCGAATATATATCACTTTTGCACCATCATAAAGCAGAAAATCTTAAGTGGAACCATTATAAGTCAGGGATTGCCTGCACTCTATTTTTCAGTTCCAAAATTTTTAATTGGTTGTTTTAGTTAAAATAAAAATTTCTCCGTTACCTTTTCATCCATGATAAGAATATTTTCCCTTGCTTCATTATGCATAATTATGTTGGGAGTTTTAAAATCCTTGTGTGCATCATCTCAGATTTACCTGCTGCTGATTACATTTTCCCATGTGTGATTATGTCATCCTAGTTCTTTGTCATATAATTTTGAGTTTTATCCTGCATGTGTGAATGGAGGCTCTGGGATGTGTTGTATTTTTTTTGAGGCATGATGATAATTTGTTTAAGCAAGTGATTAAGTTGCATAGACTCAAATGACAAACTTTTTTTTTTTCTTTTTTTTTTTGGAGACAGAGTCTTGCTCTGTTGCCCAAGCTGGAGTTCAGTGGCATGATCTCAGCTCACTACAGCCTCTGCCTCTCAGGTTCAAGCAATTCTCCTGCATCAGTCTCCCGAGTAGCTGGGATTACAGGCATGCGCCACCACTCCTGGCTAATTTTTATACTTTCAGTAGAGATGAGGTTCTCCATGTTGACCAGGCTGGTCTTGAACTCTTGACCTCAGGTGATCCCGCCTCAGCATCCCCAAGTGCTGGGATTACAGGCATGAGACACCAGGTCTAGCCTCAAATGACAAACTTTTTTCTGCTCTGGGCAGCAGTCCAAATATCAATTCAATTCCTCTAGGCTTAGCTGCTAGAAGGGCTCCCTGCACATACAGGTTTCCGTTTTGGCCAGAGACTTGGACAGAGATTATTCATAGAACATTGGGGCACTCTTTTTATTATTTTTTTCTGGCTCTCTTCTTTATAAAATTTCTCTTTTTTTGGTCATACCTGGCTATTCCAGGTTTCCCTTCCTAGTTCCTCAGGCCAAGGAGAGAGCAGCCCTTCTCTCAGAGTTTTAGCCTTGCACTCCACCTGCAGCTGCAGCCGGACCCTATGCCAAAGCCTGACAGAATGGAATTTGCTGTGATCCCTTCACCTAAGTTCCCTATCCCTTAAAAATAATGCCTCCTCTCTTTATCTCAAAGTACTCTTGTGGTCCCAGCTTATAGATTTTTCTTGTTTTTCTACCGTAGTCATTATGTCAATCACTGACTTTCCCAACTGAGTGAACACCAGCATCCCCTAAGCTGCTCTATGTTGCCCTTTCTGAAGGGAAACTTAGCCATAATCCACTCCTAAGTAATAGGTAGGCTCTGCTACATACAGGTTGAGTTGGGTTCTTTTATTAAGAAGAAATTGTAAAAGACCAAACAGGGAGACAAGAATCCCACATTCTCACTCTCTAG